GAAGCACTGTGAACCACCACGCAGCTCGAACCTGGGGTCCCACTTGAGACCTGAAGGCCCATCCCCAGGTATCCGGTGCTGAGAGGGATGGGACCTTAGGTGGCATTATCATTTGGAGACCGAGTGTGTTTGGTTACCAGGGTGATGGGATTGCTTATGGCAGAACAACAGAGCCAGGAGACAGAGCCTGGGGTTGCTGCTATGTCTGGAGCCTGTGCCTGGTGAGTGAGGGACACCCTTCTGCAGGGGTCCTGGGAAGAACACAGGGCAGGACTTAGACCATGTAAACTGGGCAGAAGCCACAGCCCCGGCTCTGAGAGGCTCCTCTTTTTGAGGCAAGCAGAGCAAAGGCCAGTTCAGCATCTGAGACAATGTACTCTGTGCCCGGAGCAGTCTGCAAGTTCCCGAGGGCCTTGGGGGCAATGTAGCAGTATTTATTTATTTTAAACTCTATATTGGATTTGTTACAATATTGCTTCTGTTTTATATTTTGGTTTCTTTTTTTGGGGGGCCACAAGACATGTGAGATCTTAACTCCTGGAGCAGGGATGGAACTGCATCCCCTGTATTGGAAGGCAAAATCTTAACCATTGGACCACCAGGGAAGTCCCTGTAGCATTATCTAAAAGCCAAACAACTTTACTGAAGAATAAGTGAGTTTGCGCTTAATATATTATGCAGCACTACTCCTATGAAGTGTTCAAGTACCCATTCTCCAAGAATACTGAAGTCGGTTGCCATTCCCTTCTCCCGGGAATCTTCCCAACCCAGGGATCAAACCCACATCTCCTCTATTGGCAGGCAGGTTCTTTACCACTAGCACCACCTGGGAAGCACACGTACCATACTGACATTAATGAATCATTTTTAAATTCTTGCCTGAAGATAGCCTTTCTCTTTGGGTGGGAAAAGGAGCTGATGCTATTCCTCCCAAGGGGCCGTGGCCTCCTGCGTTCTCTTGGCAGCTGCTGGGTGGGGAGGCAGTAGGGAGGTTGTCCCCAGAGCACAGTGCCTTGCAAGGCGACAGATATGCTCTGAACTCAGGCTCTGTTTCTAAAATTACATGCCAGCTTATTGGAGATGTTTTTGTATATTTGCAAATAATTGTTGTGTATTGCTTGTAACTCCACTTGTGAAAAGTTTTTAAACCGAGATACTAAAATCGCCTTGTGCTGAACACGTGAACACTACCGTGTTCATCCTTCCAAGTGCGTGTTTCAAGACCCTGTCGCGATGTCTCTGTGGCAGCCTCTTTCTAATTAAGTCCTTGTTCCCATCTTGTCCTGAGGTGTTGGCGTCTGTGATGCAGATTCCTGTCACCGCGATGGGGTGGGGCCACTTCACTGTAATAGGGAGGGTGACAGTTCTGGAGGAGTGAGGGATGCAAAAGCCCCGCCCATGGAGGCGGGGCCAGGGAGGTGGGCGGGGCTCCATCTCACCTTGTTCTGAGAGGTGTGTGGAGGAGGGCACGCCAAGAGCCCCGCCCAGGACGGCGGGGTGAGGGCGGGGCCGGGTGGTGGGCGGGGCTCCGCCTCAATTTGCTCTGCTTGGTTTCAGCCACGTGTCTAGAAAGCCCCGAGCCTGTCTCAAGGTTGAACGGGTTTTGAGAGCGCTCCTTTTGCCGTGACAAGACCCCAGTCCCTCATTCACAGGTCTGACATCCGGGAACCTGGGACCTGAGGGACAGAATGAAGCCCCGTGTCCTGGAGACTGAGCCTGGCTGACTGGATCAGAGAAACATGCACCTCAACGCGAGACAGCGGGAGGGCTGTCCACACTGACCCCGGGGAGACCTTCCTAAGAGGGACTCTGGACCCTGCTCCCAGGAGGCCTGAGGTGGCTGGGCCGCGGCCAGTCCCGTGAGCTGAGCCAGCAGCACTGGGACAGAACCCGGTATTAGCCCTCAGGTCATCCTTGGACTCAAGTCCCTGCATATCTCCACGGAGCACTCGACTCAGAGGCGCAGGGGAGGAGGGCTCCTGAGTGTGTCACACACCGAAAGCACCGGACGAACTCAGATGGGGAGCCCGCAGAGTGGTTGCGTCACTGTGCTCTTGTCTTTGAATCCGATTCAGTCATAAGTGCCAGTCATTGGAACCCGGGCTTTATTATGTAACACCACCAAAAAAAAATCCCACCAAAACACAGCCAAAAAAACACATTTTCTGAAGATTACATTCCCAAGAGACGGTAATAATATGGTCAGAATAGAGCCATCAGTACCGCTGGAGGAAGCATTGCCTTACATTGCCGACAGGAGTGGTGTGGTTTTTTTTTTTTTTAAACCTTAAAGTGCTTTAGCCAATAAAACAGAAGCAAGTGTTTGTGTCTGTAGGCTGGCACGTCCTAAGGGACAGTGAGACCATGTCCCCGGTCCCTGCATGTCCCCGGACAAAAGCCACTGAAGGTGTCACCCAGACCTGGGCAGGTGACCACCCCCCAGCAGCCAGGAAGGGCTGGTGGAGACTGAGCAGCTGTGCCTGGCCAGCATCCAAGGCTTCCTGCCCTCCTCTTCCCGGCTGGGAAACCTCACAGCTTTATCTTCTCTTGATTTTTAAGGGCCTGTAAGGGCCATTGCTCCTGTGTGTGTTCCTGTGACCATGATGGAATCCCCACTGAATCGGTTCTCAAGGTTGCTCCTCCATCAGTGCCAGGAACAAAGGTCCAGGACCGCTGGAGCTCACCACCTGGGGCGTGGGAGCGGGGAGCCTGTGGTTGGCCCTCCTCAGGAATGTGCCTCCTCTACCTCCATGTTGGGGGTCTGCCTGCCCTCTGCCTGCATGTTGCAGCCTCCCAGCTTCAGGAGCACCCAAGGGCCTCCCCACCGGCCAAAGGAATGAGACTGAGGGACAGTCACAGGAGCCCCAGGAGCTCAGCTCCTTCTCAGCTGGCTTCATGGACCCCCCAGGAGCTGGGGGAAAGGCCTGTGGCTCCTGAGAGGCCACAACTGGGGGCCCCAGCATGTGCTCTGGAGCACGTGCCCTACCCCAGAGCAGCCAGCTGTGACCCTGGGCTCATACCCAAGGTCTGTGGCTCAGTCTCCTCAACTGAACCACATGAACAGTGTACTTACCCAGGCCCTGTGAGGGTGAGAAGGGAAACCGATGCCCACACCCCTCCCCCCGCCCCCACCAGCCCAGCAGCCCTGATCCCATGGCCACTGTGATGATGCCGCCAGGGTGTGTGCTCCAGGGGGGCTGTAGGCCCCCAGGGGCCGAGCTAGCTTCTGTCCCCAGGCTCTCAGGCCTGGCTGTGCGTGGGGCCTCCAGGTGCTGATGACACCCCCTCCCACCTCAAGGAGCTTCACAGGGAGCTTATGGTGTGGGGGAAGGGGGTGTTACCCTAGACTCTGGCACCTGCATTCACACAATGCTTTTTAAATAAGTAGAACCAGGCAGTGTGCATACTCCATGTCCAGGATAAAGCCCTGGTCTGGAAGGCCACTGCTGGCCAGTCAGGGGTGGAGCTGGCTCTGGGGCTCCATTCCCGACTGGGCTCCGAGCCACTGGGTACAGCAGACACCCCACCCCTCCCAACTCCTGGTGCCCCCTACCCCCACCCAGTGCCCTCCTCTGAAGAGCCTGGGAACTGAACACAGGAAATGGCACTTCAACCCCCAGGACTGAGAGCCTGGCTTTAGAGTGGACCTGAGTGGTCACAGTCTGCTGCTTCCTAACTTCCCAGGGCTGGGGGCAGGGTGGGGATTATGGCAAGAGAAAGAACCCAAAGAGAGGTTAGGGCTCTGTCTGCATCAGTCCCTGGTCTGGGAGCCTTGCACTTCCCCATGACTTAGAGACAGGAGGGCTCAGATGATGACCGACTAACCCCGGGGAACCATGCAGAGTGAGGGACAGACAGGTGTTAGGCAAGTACCAGTGATGTCTCAGCTTACACAGGAGTCAGGCTTCCCTGCATCCCTGCTGCCTTATCCCTTTGCCCACGACGCCTGTGGTCCTGCTTCTGGCTCAGAAGGCTCCCTGAAGACAGAACCGCCAACTGGCCCCATCGCCCTGAGGGTGCAGACACTGCCTCTCCCAGCCCGCTGACTCCTTGAGCTGCCCATAGAGGCCAGGACCCCCTCCACCGGCCTCAGCACTGTGAGGACAGGAGGGCCCCTCCCACACAGAACATGGTCTCCCAGGAAGCAGGGTGGGGCCTCGGCTGCAGCTAGCTGTTTTCCCATCCCTGCATGGGGGAGCAAGTGACCCACCCCTGCCTGCTGTGAATCCCATCCGGCTGGCCCCTTTCTTAGCCCATCTTGTTTACACAGATGTTCAGAATGAAAGTTTTAAAAAAGAAAAGGCTCACCCACATGTAGAAAAAGGGCATCATTTTATCAAATATTGACAATTCCCAGTAGTCTGAGGAAACTGTGTCTGTGTCTATGCTCAGGGGGCCACTAGAGGAAGGGCACTGTGGCCAGAGGTGTTGGCATGAGGCTGGCTGCAGGCCATCCACTCGAAGTTTCCTTGCCTCCCGCGAGGGACCAGTCTTCCCAATTCCAGTGAAACTTGGCATTATGTTTGGGGCAGGAAATGGGAGGTGGCTGCAGTGGGCTTTACACCAGTGGTCAAGGGTGCAAGAGGCAGACCGACCCTCAAGACCAGCAGAGGGACTAGCCTTAGGCAGAGATGTAGTCTGGAGACTGGACTGGAGAACAGACGTGTTAGGGACAAGCACCGAGCCCCTCATCCCTACCCAGAGCCAGAGACATCGAAAAATACTTTTTGGCAGTTGTCAGCAGAGCCCCCCCCAGGAAGGAGAGGCAGGGAAGGTGAGCCCTCCAGAGGACGGACCTGGATGCGCATCCTCAGCACAACTCCGGGGGGCCTCCCCACTTCACCTACGCAGCCCAGGGGTCCTGCCTCCCAGGCCAGTTGGTGACTGGGAGGCAGCAGCCATCCAGCGAGGCTTCCCGGGCCGCCAGGCCGGAGACTCCGCCCTCTCCGCTCTCCGCGTGTGTAGCACCAGGGCAGGGGGTCTGGCCTTGTCCTCCCCACTCAGTTGGCCTCGCTCTCCGTGAACTCCTCTTTGATGGACTGTTTGCGGGACTTGCAGTCCGGGAGGTCGAAGCCGAAGTCGGCCCACTCGTCGGGCCCCGCGCCCCCGGCCGGGCCCCCGCGGTTGGGGATGGTGATGGTGTGGCGCACGCGGAAGTGTACGGCCTCCATGACCCGCTGGCGCTGCAGCTCCCCCGAGCCCCCGATGGCGATGGTGGCTGCATTGCTGCTGGAGCGAATCAGCTGCTGGGTGCTGTAGTCGTGGCTTTGCTTCAGGTCCTGGAGCCCCCTCCAGATGGTCATGCGATACTGGTCGGGGATCTTCAGGGCCCCCAGGTCCTGCAGGATCAGCCGTCAGGCTCTGCCCTCCCCCCACTAGGGACATCACCTACCCTGCACAGCCAATGGGGGACCAGGAGGGGGGGGATGAGCCTCCACCGAGGGGGAATGGGGCACAGAAGTAGACAGTGCCAGATAGCCCTGCGCCTGGTGGTCTGGCCACACCCAATTCTGCCCTGGACAGTACAGGAGAGACAAGAAATGACATGGGGTGGGAGTGGGGCACTGCGGTCATGCGGGCCCCATAGGGCCTGGGGCCCTGACCACAGTCAGAGTAACAGATGGAGCCCCCCCACACCGGGTGCTGGAGGACCCCTGCCTCCCAGCCTCAGGGCCGGTTCCCCCACTTCAGGACAAAACAGAGCCTCAGATTCCTGTCATCCCACCTCCACCCCACCAAGCAACGCATCAACTGGTGAGGAAGGGTTACCAGGCCCTGAGCTATTCCAGTGGGGCCACCAGGGGCAGGTCAGAGAGCGTAGTGGACAGAGGACAAGGCTGCCCTCTGAGCCACTGGCCCCGCTCCCTCTGGCAAACTCGCATCCCTTAGGAGGCCTCTGTCCCAGGGTCGACTGTGGAGCAGGTCCAACAGAGGCTCCAGGCCACTGAGTTGGAGTCCTGGGATCCGGCCCGCTGACACCTGTGTCTCTCGGCCTCCAGCTAACAGTCATTACACTCAAGACAACTCCAGGCTGTACACTGTGCTAAATCGCTTCAGTCGTGTCTGACTCTGCGACCCCATGGACCGTAGCCCTCCAGGCTCCTCTGTCCATGGGATTCCCCAGGCAAGAATACTGGAGTGGGTTGCCATTCCCTCCTCCAGGGGATCTTCCTGACCCAGAGACTGAAGCCGTGTCTCTTACCTCTCCTGCATTGGCAGATGGATTCTTTACCACTAGAGTCACCTGGGAAGCCCTCTGAGTGCTCATTGCTGGGACTCTGGTTTAACCCAAAGACCAGCCCGAGCTGTGGGTCAGGGGTCAGGATGCCAAGGGTGGGGCACCTCTAGCCCTGCACACCCTAAACCGGACATTCAGTTGCTGTGGGTGAACGGCAAGTGGTTTGGGCCTCAGTCCCGCTCCCCCCCGGCCCCGCCCCGTGTAAATGGTGCTGAGCTAAAGCAGCACCCGGTCCCTTCTGGACTTCCCCTTCTGGAATTCATCATGCCTTGGAGACAGCTCACCCCCAGATCAAAGGCCACAGGACAGAGACTCAAGTCCAGATGAGGGACTTGGGGCAAGTCCTGTCCAGCCATGTGATGCTGGGTGTAAGCAAGTAGACTTGGCTACTTGCAGGAAGAAGGGTTTTCCAAACTCCCCAGCTCCCCTTGCACGGGAAGACAGGAAATGGAGGGACTGCACCGCAAGAGGAGAAAGTTCCCTGGCCTGTAGACAGGGCCCACACTGGTCTGGGGGTGGGTTCCCCATGCCTGCCCCACTGGGCAGTTACCTCTATCGTCAGGTTCTGCAGATGGTAAATGTTCTGTAAGCCCTGGGAGGTGAAATACTCGATGCAATTTGGACACCCCAATCCTGTTAGAAAACTGCAGAGAATTGGGGAAACAGAGCAGCATTAACTTGTAAAAACCTGGCTGTATGGCCCATCTTAGCAGGAACCGGCTACCCCCAGATCTCCCCCGCCGGCCCAATCTGGCCACAGCTTCCGGCCCACGCTCACCTGGGCGCAGCCTCCAGGGAGTCCCTGGCTTTCTGTGCCCACCTCCCGAACACCTGCTGGAGGCTCACTCTCCCACTCTATCTACTCTCCAGACAGCGGAGCAGGGACAGCACCAGCTGCAAGGGGCAGCAGGCAGAGACCCCCCACCTCGGGCTTGGGGCAAGGCAGCCAGGAGCTACCAGGGCTGAGGGTACTGGGCTCGTGGCAGCACCCAGCAGTGGCCCACGTACCTGACCAGGCTGGGGTCAGCATGGTAGGGGGGTGGCGGGGTACAGTGGGACCCTGAGACCATGGACTGGGAGCTGGGGCCACCATTCATCTCCCCGTTGGCTGGCAAGGTGTGGCCGTGGTTGTTGAGTATCCCGGGGCCTGGGCAGAAAGCAGGTGGGACAGTCAGAGGGGAGCGGGCCAGGCCAGGTGTTCCAGGCTGCATGGGGGCGGCTTGTAAGGCTTGGCCCTCCCCAAGACCTGGAGTGGATAGAGGGGACTGTGCCTTATGCTCTTGGGCCAGAATTGCAGGAGGGCCCAACCATCAAGAGCCCCGAGCGGTCCTGAGCTGGGCAGGAGGGTCTGGAGCCAGGCTCCCCCACCCCCCACCCCAGCCACCCTGCCCAAGCCACTCACCCATGGGTCCCAGGTTGGACCCAGCCGCTGAGCCGTGTGGGGGAGGTTGGCCCACCAGCTGGTTGACTGAGGGCAGCTTGTTGACTGCCCCATGCGCTTTGCTCATGGGTGAGAGGACAGGCCCGTAGGATGGAGGCTGAAGGTGGCTCCTGCTCAGGAGGGACAGCAACTCCAAGTGAAGCCCCCTGCTACAGGGGCCTGGAGACCCCACCCACACCGGGGTCAGAGCGCCTGCCTCCAGCCCAGCCTCCCTGCCTGACAGCGGCCACACTCGCCACAGGCCTGCTCAAAGGCAGGACCTGGGCAATGGGTAGGAGCCAGAGGGGGGCCATTCTTGACCTTGGAACCAGACCTATTCTTGGTGGGTCAGTGTCACCCCGACCACCTTTTCCCGGCCCCCACTCAGCAGACTTCTAGGCTGAGATGCTGCAGTTCAGGGAGGCTTCCTGGAGGAAGAGTACTGCCTGGTGCTGCTGTGTTTTCCCTGCTGGGTCATCCAGCCCCATCTTTCCCCACATCAGACAGGTGGGTAAGACCGGGAGGACTGGGTTTGGGGGCAGGGTGGAGGGGGCTGCACTCACGGCCTCTGCAGGAGCTGCTGCTGCTGCTGCCGGTAAGAGTCCACCAGCTGCTGGGGCACCAGCTCCATCAGCTCCAGGCTCTCCTTGACCTTCATCAGGATCTCAAAGTTCTCCCGGCCCCGCACCTGAGCACAGACAAGCGGACCTTCTGCCTGCCCAGGACATGTAGACAACGCCTGGCCCCAGACCCCTCCCCCCACCTCCTGGCACAGGGGAGTGCCTCTCCTTTCTCAGGGCTCCCCAGCCCCTGCAGCCAGGGGGTCCCCTGGTCCTGCTCTCCTCTCCAGAAGTAGGTCTGAGCGAAGCTGGTGGGCTGGCTCCTGTCCATGCAAACCACACCCACCCCTTACTACCTCTGCGTCTTTGCCACACCGTCTCCTCCCTCTTTTCAGAGCTCAGCAGACCTGAGGTACTGGGGTGGGGGTGGGGGCTGGACAAACATGGGGTTTCTAGAACAAGGAACTCATTCTTGAAGGACAAAAAACAAGCTCACATCATGGAGACCAGTCCTAGCAAAGCAGGTGGGGGTTAATCTCTGCTGGGATGGCCGCATCACAGGGCAGCCTATACTCCCAGCTCGGTGATGTGCTGGGGCGCAGAAGGCCATGGGATTCCTCCCACCTGCTCCCTTGGGTGGAGGACTGCATCACCCTGCACCCTGCATCACCCTGCACACTGTATCACTGTATCCATAACACGCCCTCCTGCTCTGGGAGCTCCATCAGTGGACCGGCTCCCCTTGTGGCTAGTCCAGCTCTCTGGGCCCTGGTTCTCCTTTCTGGGATCCACAGAGCTTGGGGTCTCAGCTGTCAGGGCATGCTGAATGGCACCTGCCACCCCCAGGGCCCTGGGTCTCCCCTAGCACCACCATGCCCTGGCCTGGGCTCCGTAGGCATGGGACTCACATGCATGTAGTACACGTCATCGTCACCATGCCGCCTCTTCTTCACGTTGGTGCCCAGGGCAGGAACGGTAGGGGGGCTCTGCTTGAAGGCTAGCAGGGGTCAGGGGCTTTGTGAGCAGGCAGGGAGGAGGCGGGGCACATGCAGGTGAACCAAGCCAACCCCCTCACCCTGCCCCGCCACCCGGCCTGAGCCAACCTCCCTGAGGTGTCCCTCGTGGACAGGCCTGGAGACCAGTCACCCACTTGGATGAGCAAACTCGAGCAGCCACCCAGACTGGACAGAGTGGACTGGGGGTGGGCAGCCACATGGCCGGGGCTCACTCTGTCCCCTGGACACAGGCTTGCATGTTTCCCGAAAGTCTCCAGACTGGTCCAGCTCGTCCTGAGGGTGGCCTGGCTCTGACAGTCCGGAGTTGCCCTCCACCCTTGCCCCTGCCCCGAGCCCCGCTTACCGCGCTTGCTGGCGGCCCCGCTCTTGGCAGCACTCTCGTTGAGGGCCTGCTGCTCGCGGTAGTGGTCTTCATCTGCTTTGCGGTCTCGGCCAGGACAGGCACAGATGCGGCCCTCAAAGGACCGGCGGCCCAGCACCTGTCCACTGTCCAGGGCACAGTCAGAACCGTGAGCTCTAGGGGCCCACCTTCCCCACCTGCCTCGAACCCCACGGGACTGGCCTTGATGGGCCCAGGGCTCAGGGCTGAGAGCACAGCTGCTCCAGGACAGCAGGTCTCCTGCCTCGCTCCCAGGGTGGTGCCTGCCCCTGCAGCTCCTCTCAGCACACAGCCTGCAGGGCCCCTCCCCAAACTTGCCTCCAAGGCCAGCACCCCTCCTTGGTCATGGCTGTCTCCCCAGCAAGACCCCCAGCAGCACTGGCCCAAATCCCTGCCCACCCACCCCCCCACTCCCACCTCCAGCAGACTCACTCCCGCGTCTCCAGGGTGATGATTATGAGGATGGGCCGCCGGTTCATGCCCCCAACACAGCTGCTGTTGCACATGAAGTTGTATAGGATGGTGGTGAACTCTGTCCCCACCTGCACACAGGGAGGCAGGGAGGCTGTGGTGTCAGCAGGTGGCCTCAACCCATAGGCGTGGGCTCGTGGGCTTCCAAGCACCCATCCCTCACATCTCCGGTGGGCAAGAGGCTGCTGGGCCCTCTGGTCCTCTGCCATCTATCTACCCATTCACCATGCATCTACCTCCATCCACCCATTCTTCCACCATCGATCTATCCATCTACTTCCATCCACCCATCCTCCCATCCATCATCCATTCTCTATTCACCATCTGTCTATCATCCATGCAAGTATCCATCCACACATCTCCCTATCCATCTCTCAGCCCCCATCCATCCCCCATCCATCCATCCATCCATCTATCCATCTACCTTCATCCACCCATCCTTCCATCCATCCACCAACCATCCATTTATCCACCCACCATCTGTCCATCATCCATGCCCCCAGGCATGTTTCCACCACACATCCATCCATCCCCCATGCCCCATCCATGCACGCATCCACTTGTCTGTCTACAACCTATCCATTCACGCACTACACTGAATGCCCTGTGCTGTGCTGGTTGTGGGAACCACGAGAGCCACAGTGGTTGCCCCCACCACCTCCTCACCCCGACACAGGCTGGAGGTCGCCCCAGCAGCTGGGTATGAGCGCAGGCCCCTGTGGGCACAGGTGTGTGTTTTGCAGTGTGGGCTCTTCTGGGCACTGCTCTGGCAGAGGGAGGGGCCAGAGCTGTCCGAGTGGGGTCCACATACACTGGTTCCTGGGAGTTTATGGACCCAGGACTCGTGACCCCAGGGCATCCTAAGACCACAAAATGGGCGGTTGTCGAGGTCTCCCTGGGTCTGGAGGATGGCTTAGGAAACCTGGGCTTTCACAGAACTAGCACGTGGCCGCCACCAGGGGGCAGGAGAGCCCTGCTTTCCTGGCCAGTCCTAGAGGTGATAGAGGGGCTGGAAGCTGAGGGCTGGGGGAGGGAAGCCAGGGTGGAAACCCCTCCCAGGGTCCTGGTCCCACTGACATAAGGGCTGTTCCTCAGGGAAGCACGGGGGCTTCTGGGGAACCAGGTACAGGAGTGAGGCCTGGAATGGGAATACCTAGAGGGCTAGCTACAGCACTGGGGGAGGGGTCTCCAATCTAGGGTGGGGGTGAAGTAGTGCTGTGCCCCCGACTGAAGGTCTGTCCTCTTCTCCTCGGGGGCCCCCCACAACCCATTCCACCCGGCTGACTCCCCCTGACCTGAGTCCCTCCCTCCCCAGCGCCCAGAACCAGGAAGGGGGATGAAGGGTTGGGTTGAGGCTCAGGGATCACCAGGCCCACCCCATGTGGTAGAGCTGGGGGTGCAGATGGCCAGAGAAGGCTGGAGGGGCTGCCCCCAAGCTGGGGGTCAGGCTGGGAGGGACTGATGGACAGATGGACGTGAAGACGAGAGAGGAGCCCCACAGTTGGACTTAACTCTGGACACTAGGGAAATGACTTGCGGGGCTCTGCCCCACCCCCACCTGGCTCCCTACCTGTGGGGGCTCGTAGGGCACCATGACGCTCTGCCGGCCCGTGACCGGGTCGTCCACGTACTGCGAGAGGTTGTTGCCCTCCACGCGGATGAGGTGGCTGGCGGGAGCGGACTGTCCTGCCGAGAGGAGGAAGCTGCTTCAGAGAGGTGTCAGCCAGGGGCTGCACCCCTGTGCTGGGCACATCGCAGCTGCCTCGGGGCTTCCCCCAAGGGGACACAGGTGGCAGGCAGCTCTCACGCCCGGCGCATCTGACCTAGCAGCGCTATCCTGCCCTCGCCACCCTCCCCACCCCCCGCCACCCTCCCCCCACCTGCCCGACACCCAAGGCCCTGGGGCAGAGCTGGCAGGACACAGGACTGGTGAGGTGGATGCGGAGCCCACTTGTCAGTGCCCTCCCGTTGGACCTGCTGCCTCCAGGTAGGAGGCTGGGCCAGCCCTCCCCTTCCCTCCAGGGTGCTGAGGGGCAGAGGAGGGAGCAGGGACACTCACCTTCATTGAAGTCCCGCCCGAGCTCGTGGTTGGGGCAGCGCTTCACGACCTCAGTCACGTGCTCCGCCTTCTTATAGACGGGCATGGCGCGGATGGCGGTGCCTGGGGGCGGCGGGGTGGACACCTTGATCTGGATGGGGCACGTCTTGGCGATTTGGCAGTAAAGCTTCTTCAGCAGCGGGGAGTACTGTAGGGTTGGGGGTCCGGGCGAGGCTGGTCAGCCCAGCGCCACACCCCCGCCACACGCTGTGCCCCGCCAGGAGTCCCCGCACCAAGGCCTGGGATGACAGTCCTCGATGGACACCTCTGGGCATCCTTCCCTCCAAGCTTCTCCCTAGCCCCACTCAGCAGGTGCCCTGAGTGCCCTGTGCGGCCGGGAGGACGCGCTTTCTGTCTGGATCTCACTGGCTGGAAAAGGAGGTGCCATTAGGTCTATTTTATGGATGAGAATTGGACCATAAAGAAGACTGAGTGCGGAAGAATTGATGCTTTCAAATTGTGGTGCTGGAAAAGACTCTTGAGAGTCCCTAGGACTGCAGGATCAAACCAGTCAATCCTAAAGGAAATCAACTCTGAATGTTCATTGGAAGGACTGATGCTGAAGCTGAAGGTCCAATAATTTGGCCACCTGATGTGAAGAGATGACTCACTGGAAAGGACCCTGATGCTGGGAAAGACTGAAGGCAAAAGGAGGAGGTGGCAGAGGATGAGACAGTTAGATAGCATCACTGACTCAATGGACATGAGTTTGAACAAACTGGGAGATAGTGAAGGACAGGAAAGGTTGGCGTGCTGCAGTCCATGGGGTCTCAAAGAGTTGGACACAACTGAGCGACTAAACAACAACAATAACAATGGATGAGGACAGGAAAGTGAGGAGCTGCTGGAGAGCAGGGCTGGGAGCCAGGTCTGGTGCCTCAAGCCTGTGGACCTGGAGCCTCCAGACCGTAGTGGTTTGAGGGGTGAGGTGCTGCATCCTGCGTCAGGTTTAAAAGCCTGGAGTCAGGTCTTCCGGCATTCATCAGAGGAGACAGGCCCAGGGACTCCCCGGACCATCCTCAGAGGGGCCAGCCCTGCAGTTGGGTTCTGGCCACTGCAAGTGGGGGGCTTTGACCACAGAGCCCCAGGACCCCTAACAGAAGCCTCTGACCCAGGGAGGATGGGATGATGCTCACGCCACCTGCAGGGACCTCCAGGGCCAGTGCCCAGGGGTCCAGGTGGCTCACCTGAAGACCCAGGCTGGCTCTCATGAGTCCAAAGTGACCTTGATGGAAGGGCCCCTTGGAAACAGGGGTGTCCACCCCTTTCTAAGTTGGCTGTCCTCCAGTGACTGGCTCCTGGGGGCCCATCGGGGGCTCCTCATGGCCCCGTCTGCCCCCAGGGACAGTGGGGAACATCGAGCTCTCAGAGTCACAGGATGCTTCCTGTTCCCATGCCACACCCCTGGGTCCCCCCACAAGTCCGTGGGACTTGGAGTTACCCCAGCCACAAGGCCCTGGGAAGCCTCCAGCACACCCCAGCATGGTGTGTGGGGTCAGGCTGGAGACGGGGCTGCTGCAGTCCAGAGGATGGGCAGGTCTGAGCCCACCTTTGCCAAGGAAGCTGGCGCCTGACACCCTGACCCATCGATGAAGGCCACTCTGGCCACTTGTGATGCCTCTCTGGCCACCAAGGGACACAATGGACCCTCAGGGCCTCCTAACCTCAGCCACTCCAAGTCCAGGAAGAGCAAGGGAGATGGAGCTCACCCTGAGCCCAGCCCTCGGCCCTGAGCAACACAGCTGTCCTTCCTCAGATGAACTGAAACCCAGCCAGAAACGCTGCCCTGTCCCTGCAGTGGGTCTGGGGGGCTCAGGGAACAAATGGGAGGGTCTCCCTAGTGGCGTCCTGAGGGATGGGGACCCTGCCCAACTCCCTTGGTGCTGGCTGCAGGACGAGCTCTTGTACCCTTGTCATGGAAGGCATCGGATGCCCACGAGGCTTGTCCCCTCCCAGGTGCCCTGTCCACATGTGCCTGCAACCCTGCTGCTGCAGGCAGGCACACCCCCTATGGATGCAGGTGGGCCCTCAGCTGCCAGACAGGAGGCTCAGAGGTCACACAGGGCAGGGGCAGCTTGCATCCCAGGGAGGTGACCGCTGACCTCCTGTGCCCCCATCAGGATAAATGCTGCCCCTTTACCAGTTTGGGAGATCAGCAGAGTGCCCTGTCTCGAGATCTATGCCCAGGCAGTGGTAGCCCAGCCCAAAGCAAACTCCAGGTGCCAGCGGAGGGCCCAGCTCTCTTGTCCACCCACGTATGAGGCTTCAGGACCCATCCCTGATGTGAGACAAGTGTGCATTCAGTCTCAGGATGAAACTGCCTGGTCATCGTCATGGAGGTGCTCCAGGGGGATACCCAGGGGGTCTTCCTGGTGGAGGAGGGCCCTACAGGGAATGGCAGGCCTCAGTTGGACTGCAGGGACCTGAACACAAGCAGTGATCGAGGAAGTAGCTGGGAAGCTGGGAGCCATCCACTCGGTGAGCCTTTGTTGAATGCCTAGTGTTTGCCCGGCTCTTGGCTCACTGAGGAAACGAGCCGAGAGCCCCTCCACCCCCAGAAAAATCTACTTAGCCGAGGCTCACCGCTCATACTCAAAGGCCACGCAGCCTCATGGCCTCCTGCTGCGGCTGTTGGATCCCAGAGGAGGCTTCCTCCCCTACAGGTGACCCAACTGCCTTCGGAGGGCCCAGGGAATAAGGTGACCCGGGACTGGGAGGGGCATATGGAGGACTGCAGAGAGCTGGCCTGGACTACTGGGGGGTGGTCTGCAAGGGGAGACGGACTGAGGTCTGGCCGCAGTGTCCCAGTTTCAGCACTGGGCTGGACAGCTGGGACGCCTTAACCATTGGACAGACCTTTCTGTGGCGTGACGGTCGGCTATGCAGGTCCCCCTCCGACAGTCCCATTCGCCCTCTGACTTGTGCTCCCGCCCAAGCCCTGAGATGGGTCTTCAGATCCACCAAGACCAGGCGTTCCTGGCAGCCCCACTGAGGAGGGAATGGCGCCAACAGGGCGGAGCCAGGCTCCAGGCGCAGCCTCGGGAGGTGCAAAGCTGCTGCCCCCCACCCCATCCCTCCAAGCTCCCTGATCACCCCCTGGCTTCAGAACCCCCGCCCCACCCACGCAGCCTTTCCCCCTGGGCTGCCTACTCCAGCCCCACCAACCACCTCCGCCGGAGCTGCGGACGCCCCACCCCCTGGGAGGAGCTGCTGGGAGCTGTCCCTGGTACCGCCGGGCAGCGGCCGCCCGACCGCCCAGGTGAAAGCCAAAAGTCGGCTCGGCTGCGAGCACACAGCCGCCTGGGGCGCCTCACCAGGACAGCGGTGAGGGTGGAGAGGACACTCCTCCCTCTGTGGTCCTAGCAAGGCCAGTCACTGGCTCTCCACCGCTCCCCATAGGGGTGCCCCCCACTCAGTGCTGCCCTCCCTACCGGCGGCTCTTGTGGCCTTTGGGCACACACACAGGTCAGGCCCCCACTCCAGCAGGGTGTGGATCCACAGATGCCCAGCCTGGCCGGAGTCCGGTAGCATCAGGGAGCGAGACCTGAGGTCTCTGCACCCTGGTGGCATCAGTGGTGACACCTGTGGTCGCTGGCCTCCAGGGCAGGAGGGAAGCCTGGGAGGGGAGGGGAGGGGGCAGGCTGGAGGGGCGGGGGGCAAACCAGTGCAGGGTGGTGCAGGGTGGGACCTGGAAGGAATGAAGGAGCCCCCCACCCCTCCTCCAGCTCCTCCCCTTCCTCCCAGAGCTCCGGGGCCTCAGGCCATCCTGGGCACAGGGCAGAGAAGGAGGGCTCCTGGGTCCTCCTCGGTTCTGTAGAAAAGATCACGTGGAGACAGTTCCTCTCTCCCTCCCGCCTGCCTATCCTTCCCTAGGACCGCTAGATGGATGTGTTTCAACAGATTCCGAGCTGATAAAATCTTATTTATCTTCGGCTGTTGACACGGAGCCGTCAGGACTTGCCTGTTCAGGGATGCGTGTGTTCCTTCGTGTTTGCAGGAAATGGTTCGCCCAAACGCTGGTGTGTGCCCATCCTGCCCCCACCAGCTCCTCTCCTCAGACCCACGCCTCCCCGTCCCCCGCCCAGCTCATGATGGGCCCGGCCTGGCTGGAAGCCGCGGGCCTGGCAGGGCTGGTGCGGGGGTGATGGGGGAGAGGGCGGCGGGTGGCAGGCGCGGTGTGGTGGCTGTTAATTTCCTCGCGCCTGCTCCCCGGCAGCTGGGTGCCCGGCATGGGCAGGTTTGGGCAGGAGCGGAGTGGAGAGGTGATAATAACTTGTCTGTCATTTTCCAGGGACGTGTAGCGTCTTGCAAACCGCAAATACCGTTAACCAGCTTGGGTGAATCTGTTACAACAGATTCTGGGAGACGGGACCCGCAGTGGGGGCTTTATTTTTTTTAATGATTTTTTTATAGACCACTTTTTATCTGCTTTTTGTGTGTGTGTGCATGGATGCGCTGGTGCTCACACCCACGTTTCTCTCCGCTCTTGGGTTACGGGCCCTTTGAGGATCTCCTCAAGACTGCAGACCCTCACACCCTAGAAAAGCTCCTGAGCAGATCAGCAGAGCACTTGGCAAGAAGCTTCATGGGGTCCCAGGCCGCCACCAAAGCTCATGGGAACCCCTGGTTCAGCCTCCTTTCTCCCCCGAGAAGAGGAGGCCTCCCAGGGTGACAAACCACAGGGACACCGCCCCCTACTCCTGGCCACCCCCCACCCTCACTGGCACAGATCCACTCCCACACTCCTGTCTTCACTCAGCCAAGAGGGACTGAGGACATGGGGGGCTCTGATAGACGTCAGCGAGGTGACCAGCCTGGGGGATGTGGGGGCACCTATGACCATCACCCCAACCTGCTTCAGGGCACCCAAGCTCAGAAGGCAGCTAAGGTCCACGCACAAGAAAACCCATGGCCAACACTCCACCTTGGATGTGGGCCTGGTGGCTGGAGGGTCCAGGGAACCTGGGATGCCCAGGGCGGGAGCCGGTGCCTGGCCGGCAGGGAAGGAAGGCTGCTGTGATTCCTCAACAGCTCGCAGCTTGGGATGGGCTGGTGTGGGAGATGCTTCTGCTGACACCCCCATGAAGCTGGATGGCCCGGGCTCCCCTTGCTGGGAACCCAGTGGACCTGGAGGTGGAAACAGGCTAT